GTAGTGGAAATAGATCTACAAGTGAGGGAAGTTGTTTGTGACTTCAGGGAACTTTATTTGGATATGCCTGTTATGGTATAATTGAGATTTACAAGACCTTCATTCAATTTCAGCACATTTTGTGAATGTATGTCCCATTTATAGGCATTATGTTTTTCGGTCTGTGCGTCCGTTTGTTCTTCCGTTCATCCGTCTGTTCCGCTTCAGGTTAATGTTTTTGGTCAAAGTAGTTTTTGATGAAGTTGAAGTTCAATCAACTTGAAACTCAGTACACATGTTCCATATGATATGATCTTTCTAATTTTAATGCCAAATTAGAGTTCTTACCGCAATTTACGGTCCACTGGACAAAGAAAATGATAGTGCGAGTGGGGCATTCATGTACTATGGACACATTCTTGTTCAAATCCTTTACTAAAGAAGTTAGTAAATTTACTTCAGATAAAAATACTAAATTAGACGAACCAATCTAATTAAAAGATATATCTCTGATTTCGTTATACTTATATAACTTTTTTGTATGAATTTTAATAAGATTACTGGACAAACGCGTTCAATCTTCGGACTTAATTCTTAACAATTTTACCGAGCGGAGAGAGACGAAAAAAACTAACGTCTTTCAAGCCAAATTTTATATGTATGCTATACACAAAAATTTATTGTTTAAACTTTGTAATCAATTAATCTAAAATACAGTCCTAGATAATCAAATAATCATGAAATATTTGGTCTAGTAATCAAATAATCACTAAAACAAAACGGCCAAGTAATCACATAATCAGAAACCCCATGAGGAATCATTAAAGATGACATTTTTTTGTATTATAATTGATTCACTTATAAGGTCTTTGCATCGGAAATAAACTAATTAATTCCAAAACCAGTTGTTGGCTTAATACGGGTCATTTTCTTCACATTGACATAATTTACTAAACGTTTATTGAAACCTGTAATGTGAAGACGTGAATGAAAATGCGGAGTTTGTGAGACCAGGTTCAAGCAAGCAGCCACTCGCTAGCAGCCACTTCGCTAGCAGCCAGTTTTAAGATGTTTATATAAACCCAAATGTTGCATAAGATTCAAACGTACTTCAAATGTTTTTATTAATATATAACCACTATATTATCAGTTTTTAATATATAATTAAGCAGTCAGGGCACTATTCAATGAATTTCAAAATTTCATTTCTTGTTCATTAATTATATAAATACAATAGAAATCGCTTTCAAAACATCACACAGCGTGCTGCACGCTTTACATTTCAAATAGTCAACACTTTTGAGTGTATATCGTAAATAATTATGAAATTATTTAAATGTTGGCAAAATTGCACTATTGTGTGAAATAGCTTTCCATATTCTCGGCATCCTGTCAAATAGTTCATGAAAAGTAACAATTGTTCTGCATTAGAAGAAAAAATATTTGCACTCGTGCTTTAACATTTTTTTGTGCCGCACAAAACGGTTTTGACAAAACATTCTACTTCTGAAACAGTGGATTTCGCTTACTTATGATTGGACGAAAGGTTTATTTTTTGTACTCAAAGTATGGTGGGCAAGGAAATTATTTATTAGCTTTAAAAAATAATCCGTGCTATACCCAAACTGGGAATTTTGATCAAGTAGGCGCTAGGTCTCTAGCTTACGTTTGCACCTAGTGCGGAAAAAAGTATTGCCATAGAATTTTTGTTTGTTAACTTTTCAGTAAGGGTTGGGTAGGGTATCTGACCTCCACTTTGGACCTACTTTAGAAAAAAAACTAAGCCGAAAAATACCCTGTGTTTGTTCTACTGTAGACCTCAGCTACTAAGCTTCCCTTTGTCTTAGTGCGGACACAAGTATTGCCTTAGAATTTTTTTTTATTAAATTTTCGGTAAGGGTGGGGTTGGTTGTCCGCGGACCCCAACTTTGGACCTAGTTAAAAAAAAACAAAGACGAATAACACCCTGCATTTTTTTCTCCAGAAGACCTCAGCTACGCAACTTCCCTTTGCACCTAGTATTGCCGTAGATTTTTGTTTTTTTATTTTTCGGTAATGGTGTGGTAGGGTAGGTAGCTGAGGTCTACTTGAGAAAAATTCCAGAGTGATGTTCGGCTTAGTCTTTTTTTATAATGTAATAAGCTGGCAAATTATGAAAGCTCATGTCTTCATTGATAGGCATAGAAATAAAAAGAAAACGTATGATAACCAATAACAAACTACCGGAGACAAAATAACGTTGGTTTAGGCAACTAGGATGATGGTCTGGATACGGGGTTCTTCATTTCTGTATTCTTTGATATTCTATGCCGATTTTCTCTATTATCTTTAATCAGTGTTTTAGTCCATTTTTCTCTATTCTTTATTTCTTTATACTTTTAGCCAATTATTCTGTTCTCTTTACATTTTAACACCTCATTATTCTATTTTTTTTATTTTTTTTTTATTTCTTGGTCCATTGTCTCTATTATTCATATTTTTTGCTCACTATTCTCTATTCCGTCAACCCCCGTCCACACCCAGGCTATAGTTAAGGTCACCATATAGCTTTCAAAAGTAAGCAAAACTAATACCGAGTAGGCTCCGAATGGCAAAAATGATTAAATGCTAATCCCGGTTTGAATTGTGAAATTGCGGAAACTTGTTTTTCAATCAATTGATCAAGCAAAACACATTATCGTCCTGAATGGTCGTATAATGGACCTTGGTCATGAATTCTAATCATCTGAGATCAACCTTTCTAAATTTAAAAGTAAAGATCACGCACCCTTATTGTTCAGATTGATAAAATCTTTTGCATCCATCGACATTATCTTCGATTAAAGATCTGATAACCACAGTGACTGTGCATGTATACTTTAACGACCGGGGTAGTTTTCTTATCAGTTTTAAAAAGTAGTAACCTCCCTTGTTAATGTGATGTTGTAATCAATCTATTTATTTGTACCATCTTTATATAATATTGTATTGTACAATTTAAATTTATGATTCGTTTAATATTTAAATATAATAATTTATTTTTTATTAAACATATAAACAAGGTAATTTGAAAGGCTTTGATTCATTTATCACCGTAGTTCAAAACATAAGTCAGGCGGTCTATTTTGTCTACATTATGTTGAAAGAACACCGGGGTGTTTACATTGGCATTATTTACTATCAATGACTGTGAAACAAGAAAGGAAAACATTGTACATTATAAAACGAGAAATAATTAAAATTAAATACAAAATTCTTGTTTAGTGAAATCAAAAACGAAAAACGGAAACACTTTAGATTTTCATTTTGGTTTTAGAGAAATCAAAAACAAAAAATGAAAACACTTTCGTTTTCCGTTTTGGTTTTAGAGAAATCAAAAACGAAAAACGAAAACACTTTTGTTTTTCGTTTTGGTTTTTGTCAAATCAAAAACGAAAAATGAAAACACTCTCGTGTTTTGTTTTTTGTTTTTGATATTTCAAAATGAAAAACGAATGGACGCAAATATACACGGACCCAGCTCGCCTGTCTTTCAATTATGTTAACAATATGTTTTCAATGTTTTAAAAGGGAGATCAGGAAATATTTTTATTTTAATAAACGTGATGTGCGTTTTTGTAAATTAATGAGAAACAAGGAGTTTTCAAAATACTCAATCTATAAAAAGTGGTCCAATCATATCTCAAGTTATCTTTACGTGAAGCATATCATAACACTTGACCCAATAATCGGAGTACAAAATCCAGTATTTAGATTGATTGATTTCTGAGTCTAAGAACGATAATCGTGCTTGAAAAGGCCAGAATCCGCGAACAGTTCCGATTCAATAAGTCAGAACGAATCGAAATAAATTTATATAAAAGACTCGTTACAAAGAAACCGTCAGTCCTGAGTTAACATTAGTAACGGACCTGTCAAATTATTTTTTTTTTCGGCTGTCATGAAAACATTTCTGAGACCAAGTCGTTTTTTTTTTTTCGTTAACTTGAATTTGCTCTGAGGAACAATCATAAAACCGGTAAGTTAATTTTTTTACCAGAACAAATATCTAGCTAACTTGCTGTAAAAGTAGTCTGAGCATCAATATGTTTATATCCATGGAGTTGAACCAATTTTGAATGAGTTGTTGTGTATTTATAAGTAACAGTGTTCTGAGTAATTATAAGAATTGATACGTTGGGAATCGTTATTAAGATTATTGTGCGTTTATAAATGTCTAAAAAAAACAGTGTAAAAATATAACAACCACTTCAGTAAATATATGTGTTTTATGTGTGAACATCGTTTGTACTAAAACTAATTCACGACTAGGAGGTAAACTTTAGATATTTTACATAATTAATTAAATAACATGAAACAAAATTGAGCAATCTGATATCATTTCAGCTTCGAGAGTGTAAAAAATATTGTAATATGGCATTTCGATTTTAGCTTGTTTCTTACAATACAAATGAGGCCTCGGTGGCCGAGAGGTCCAAATAATGCAACTTCTGTATCACAATAAAAAAGGAAGATGTGGTATGATTGCCAATGAGACAACTCTCCACAAGAGACCAAAAGACACAGAAATTAAAAACTATACGGCCTTCAACAATGAGTAAAACTCATACCGGATAGTCAGCTATGAAAGACATCGAAATGACAAATGTAGAACAATTCAAACGAGAAAAGTAACGGCCTCATTTATGTACAAGATAATCAACGAAACACAAATATGATATACAGCAAGCATGTTAACTAGCATGCGAAATATCCAAATAGTGCTTAAAGTTGCGCTAAACACCAATGAACCAAGCAATCAATACAAAATATTGTCATGTTTAAGCTTATCCGGCGTTAATTACCGGTCATTCATTGCATTGTCATGCTGTAGTCCCGAATTAACTAGAACAGATCCGTTTTTTATTTAAATCTTTATAAAATCAATTTAATTTCAAATGATAGATTTGCGAGACTCTCCTTGGCTATATTTGATAACTATTCTTTTAAAGACTGTCTTGTATGCATGAATAATGTGAGGTATAAACATAATGAGAGAGTAATGTATTGTAAGATTTTATTTCGTGACACTAAATTTTACAACACATACCACATGGTTCATGAAGTTATAAATTGCTTATGGAATCAAATGTTCAGCAGGATCCGCCTAATCTCCAGAAGCCCACGAGACTACCCTGGTTATTTGGTTAGGTTATCTGTAGCAAAAAATTTATACGACGAAGAGACAAATAAGTGTTTTTCAGACAGTTATTTGTCTCTTCGTCGTATCTAATTTTTCGCTATAATATTGTCGATGTTACTTCGACCTATGATTTTGGAACATCCGTTTAGTGTAAAAAGTATATTCCGCCTCCTTGACGTCTTGACATGTAGTTTATACTTTCATAAACTATTACTAATTTTTTTTTTGTGATAGAAGAGGTTTGATTTGTTAAAAATAACAAATGTATTCGATTCGATTACATAGTGACACTGTTGTTTATCTCAATCTAAGGCCAGAAAAATAAAACGATTAAAAGATAACCATATTATCTATGATGAGTTTGTGACAAACGAATCTGTTGGGTTCTCAGTACATTTCTAAGGTTACTTTTAACATGTTTGATAAAAATGTTAAACGTAATATTAAACGATTAAAATATATCAATATCATATATGATGAGTTTATGATAAATGAATCTGTTGGGTACTCAGTACATTCCTAAGTTTATCTTTCACATATATCAAATATGGCGAGATCAATTTCCTCTTTGTCTTAATTTCATGTTTTAATTACAATCATTATCATTTCAAATGATTACGGTATACAATTACGTTCTTATTTGTCTGAAAAAAAAAAAATATATATATTAATCAAAGTCATATATATCTCAATGAACCTAAGATATTATGTTGCTTTTTATTAGAAACAAATGACAAGAATTTATTGTGCATTCTTAAAGTACTTTTTGATTACTTTTGTTGAACAAGCCTCACGGAACGTTCAGGTATGTTGCTCACTAGGCTTATGTGCAATAACCTATAGTTCAATTATACTATACTTTGCAGATTGATCATATTCAAGCAACTAAAATGGAAGTAAAACAATCTTAAAAAGTCGATGTAAAAATGTATAATGTTGTGTTTTTTATTTTTTTGTGTAATTTCGTTGTTGAAACTATTTTCTTGTAATGAGTTGATTGACTGATTGTTTTTTGCCTATTTCCAATTGACAATTTTGTTAGGCCCTTACTCAGAAGTGATAGGTTAACAAGGTCAAACAAACAAAATATAAAATATCAACAAGGGTTGTAGACAAATACAATTGAAAAATTATCACTAATATTTAAAGGAAAATTATCATTTGGAATTGTTGGTCATCAATGCTGTTCAGCTTTGTACTTGATTTGGCTTTTGATTTTTTTTATTTGAGCGTCATTGATGAGTCTTTTGTCGACGAAATGTCCCCTTCTTCACACGACACGTATTGTTATATGATGGTTCTTTACCTTCGGTTTTCTCAACGCTTAATTAAATCATAGCTATGATAGCGTTTTATATCTATGCTTCAATATGCATTTTTGTTTTCAGTGACACCATATTTGTATAAGTTGCTACTAAAATATATTTATATTAATTGTTGAGTTAACACTCGCATTATATTGATCAGATTTTATTAAATAGAATTGTCGTCGAAAGATCAAGCCTAAAGGATTATATATTTATCAATTTCCTCTTTACTCTTCAGACCAATCTCGGCCGACCAGACATAATCATCTAGATCCCATAAATCTACATGTTATTTGTATTTTTGATATGTTATCATGAATGCGGTTTCTAGAGATCCGTCGTGCTATTTGTGTGTCAATGATTTTTATAAATTCACACGAGAGGAGGAAAGGTAATACTTCAAAAAAAAATGTTCACAAGTTTTGAGGAATATTTTACTAGTGTATACCAAAACCTTTGTAACATCTTCCGTAACTTTGCCATGATAACTGAAGAAGCATGATTTTCTTTCTATGCTCACTGGCAAAGAAATCACCATAGATACAAAGAGAGATGAAACAGGTATATGTATCTTACTGGCTTCTCTCCTTTTTTTAATTAACTTTTCATGAAAAACACAACGTTTCTTACCTGTAAAGGCCTTCTTACACCAAGTTTTTCAAGAGGATCTAAATGTGAATCTTGTACCAACTGTAACATTCTAAAAGCCTACAAAATACATTGGACAATAATGAGTTACTAACATTTGGTCAATGAAATAAAATAGTGCGTCCTTCACTTTCGTTGCAAGGTTAATTTAGTTTGAAGCAAATGAAAATAAATATGTACTCTACCGAATTCACATTTAGAATAACTAATTGTACATCGACATTTTATTATTAATGTTATATGAGATGAGTATATTCGAAATTACAAGTTGTTAGAAAAAGATAATACATGTATAGTGTATAAAAAGGAAGAGAGCTACCAACGACACACTCAAAATAGAAAAATAGAAACAGGTAAAACCATAGCAAGTAACGACGAAATTTATAGTAGATTATACAAAATAATTCATAAAAAACTACAACAAAAACAACATGAAATGATCTAAGATGGTCTGGAAGGGTTGAAAGTGCATGCTCAATATGTGGCACCCGTCGTGTTATTCATGAATGCAATTTTTGTAAGCATTGAAAACTAAATGATAAGCCTAATCCTTTTTATCAATGGTATGAGTTTATTCCGAACAGATATATTTTTGGACTTATGGCTTTGAATGTTCCTTTGGCATCTTTCGTTTCTCTTTTTTTAAATGACGTGTTGTTTATTAAAATATTTTACAATCAACTTGTGGTTCGCCTGATCTAAGTACTCCATTTCAAGATTCATTTTGACGTAAGATGTTCTAGCTTTCCTTAGATTTTGCGTTTTTTGACTTCTGAAAACCATTCAAACAGGGAAATTATGCATGTTTTATCATATATACCAGTTATAAGATGAAACGTCAAACGTTTTAACACCTTGTGGAATAGAAGTAAAATCAACAAAAAATGTCAATATCATTGTTTACTAACTTATTTAGATAAACATTAACTAATTGTGTAAATATCTATCATACAATTACATATTAGAAATATATATGTATGCATATGCAAAGACAATAAATAAAAAAACAAAATAGGAAACCTACATCTGAACATTGTCCGAGAGGTTATAAACTTTATGAAAAAAGGACCAAAATATCGTCCACCGTCAAAAATAAATTTGGAAAAGTGTCGTCAGGTTATTAAAGATGTTCTTTCATCCTATTGTAAAAAGATGGTGTAAACTGGAGAAATCTGACAAAAGTCACTGGATTCCTATTTGAATAAAAGTCTCAATATTTCGAAAATAATTTAGAAATACAAAAATAGAATATTAAGTAATACGCCGATTTCTAGAACAAATAAGAAAATTCAAGTACTCGCAAAGCGTTTTGTGTTCATACCGCCGACAAAGCAGCCAACAATGTGGTGGTGGTATGACGTAAATACTACACGGAGGTCCTTAAGAATGTAACTTTACATTCAACTACATTCAAGGCCGTACGCTCCAGAGAGAGTCGTATAGTAAATAATCATGTTACAACCACAGCTCAGCTTAAGGCCTCTTCTGAAGGTCCCCACTATGTATTGGTGACATAAACTACACAAAAAAAACCCATAAAATTTCGTTTCCTCTCGGCCTCTAGTAAGTGTTCTACTACTAGAATGTCAGTGCTTTTGACGAGTTCCTTAACTAATCAGTACTTTTTCTAATAAAACGTATGACAATAGTGGAATTAACCATTTTTGAAATTCTTTGGATGATTTGATAAATAACGTGCTTTTGGTGGTCCTTTTAATTCGGTTGACAGTTTTGACTTTTCCACTCTTTACACATTACTTCCACACAATCTTATCAAACAAAAGTTTTCCTATTTAATTAAATGGTCGTTCGATAAATTTTATTGCAAATTTATTTGCTGTAGCTCATATAAAACCTTTTTCTCAAACGAGAAAGGTAAATATGTTAGATATACTTACTGGAGGTGTGATGATATGATTACAGCCTTAAATTTTCTCCTTGACAACATTTATGTACGTTTCGGGAATAAAGTTTATCGGTAGCTTGTAGGTATTCCTATGGGCACCAACTGTGCCCCTTTAATAACAGACTTGTTCCCGTACAGTTGAATCACAGTTTATGGCCAAAATCAGTAAAGCCCCGTCTAGATTCAACAACACCTACCGTTATCTTGATGATATTTTTTCGTAAAATAATCAAGAATTTTTTAAATATATTGCCGAAATTTACCCACAGCAATTTACTTTAAATAAATCAAATATTAACAGCAATAAGTGTTCTTTCTCAGATTTAGATATTTCAGTTTTACACCAGAACCTCTACAAAAATATTTACGACAAAAAGGGAAGGTTTTTCTTTCCCTATTGTTAATTTCTTTTTTTTTTTGACGGTGATGTTCCTCTGGCACCATCTTACGGCATTTATATATCCCAACTGGTTCGTTATGCCCGTATCTGTAGTAACCTTTTGGATTTAAATGAGCGTAATATATGCTCAGTATTACTGGAAAATTCTTAAGTCAGGGATTTCGTTACCACAGATTATTTAAAACCTTTACTAAATTCTTCCATAGATACAAAGATTTGGTTTGCAAATTTGGCTGTACCTATAAAACACTTATTTCAGATGGAATAGCACACACTTAAATTTACGGTGATGTTCTTTACCGAGCCCAGAAATTCATATACGATCCGGGAAAACTTATCATTCCTTTAAATAAACTTCTAAAAGGTTACCAATTCAACACTGTAATTAGATCTTTGAATATTGTTTTTATTCGTATAAATATTGATTTTGTTATCAGTAAATTAAAATCATACTAATAGTTTTGTTATACACATATACACTTTGACGGTACTAAATCTGTCGATCCTTTATTCTGGCATTCTGCAAGGTCATGTTTTTTCTCTGATTATTAATGACGTCTTTAAACTAAATCCATTGGATGTTGGATGTGTATCGATTAATATTTTAATCTAAGTTACATGACTGTTTTATTAGTTGTTATTGGCTTTGAACTAGCTGTCAGTAACTGCGAGTACTCTCAGATCTGCACTTAGTGTCCTTTTTGTTGTTAGGGATAAGGGATGAATAAATACAATTCCACTTCCGGTCTGTGTTTACGTTTGATGTTTTTCTGCTTTGTATGGATCTGTTGAGTTAAGCCTTTTTCAACTGATTTTGATAGTTTGTTCCTATGTTGTGCTGTTACATTACTGTCCAATGTTAGGGGTAGGGTCGAGCGTTCACAAAAATGTTTAACCCCGCTACATTCTTTGTGTGCCTCTCCCAAGTCAGGAGCCTGTAGTTCAGTGGTTGTCGTTGGTTCATGTCTAACATATTTGTTTTTCGTTAATTGTTTTGTTATAATTTAGGCCGTTAGTTTTCTCAATTGAATTGTTTCATATTTTTCATGTCGGGGCTTTTTATAGCCGACTAGACGGTATGGGTTTTTCTCATTGTTGAAAGCCGTACGGTTGCCTTTAATTGCTTACATCCACTTTATTTGAACTTTGGTGGATAGTTGTCTCATTGGCAATCATACCACATCTCCTCATTTTAATATTGGTAATGAATGCTAATAATGTGATTCTGGTGTGTCTTTATTCTTTTCGGTCTATACCCATACCTATAAAATATGTCGCAAATGTAAATGTTTACTCTCAGATTATCATTTTTATTTATATACTAATATTACCTTGGCCGCAACGTTCAGGTTAAATTCAATAAACGACAGATTGTGCTTTGTATGCGTCATGCAGGTGACGACACTAATAAAAAAAAACACAACCAGCAAACAGTTAATTGATACAATGTGTGTAATTCTATACTTGCCTTGCTAGACACTTTAATTGGGCATTTAAAAACAACCCACTGTACAGTTTCATAACATGGAGGAGAAGTGAGAGATCCTGCATACGTGTAGAATCGATTTGTGTCATACGGTATGACATCTAGAGGGGTGATACCTTCAAAAACAAAAAATGGCCTTGTTTCTGGCTCTTCTTTTTCACATTTCTTTTCTATAAAATCTGGACTTGGTGTTCGACCACATTTATTGTACCAACACTTTCCTATTAAGAAATGAAAGAAAAGAATGAAGAAAATACAATGAAACATGACCTTGAACGTGCTTTAACTATTGGTTTGTTAGTTTGATAATGATATCGGCAAGCAAAATATATTCTTTTGAAGATTAAACTGAAATCTATGGCACATAGGTAACTGTTTCTTCATTTATGTATTTCATGGCAGTTTTATATGTTGATAAGTTTGAAATTTACAGTAGATATGGTGTATGGTATATGTATTACATACACCCCGAGCGTACCATCAGCTCATTATTCAGTACTCCGATATTGACATGATTTATCACATACCTTTCTAAAATTTTCATTTTAGAACTTTTGAAATTTTAAAGAAACAAGTTGACCTGAGATTGATTTGGCTATTTTAAGGTCTTTTTGGACAAATAGCTCTGCAACTGTTTCGGCTCTTATACATTCTTGGCTTTCAAATATTCGGCTTTGAGCGTTCCTGGTGAAGATAAAAATAGAAAAGCGCTTCGGACGCATGAAATAATTAACTTGTTGATCTCATATTTTATATCTGACCATTTATATCATCTCCATATTCTTTTTTTTATAAATGAGCAGTATAGAAGAAGGGTAAAAGATACCAACGGGACATTCAAACTCATAAGTCGAAAAAAAAATGACAATGCCATGGCAAAAAAAAACGACCATGCAAAAGGCAAACAACGGTATGCAAAACATAACATAGAAAACTTAAGACTGAGCAATACAACCCCTACCATAAACCGGTGCTGATCTCAGGTTCTCCGGAAGGGTACACAGAACCTGGTTCACATGTGACACCCGTCGTGTTGAACATGTTAGTACACACCCGGTGATAAGTCTAATTCTGTTGGTTGCATTTGGGGAAAAGTAGGATGGGATTGTTGTTACGACTTAACCATTTCACAAAATTTTGATTTCCTTAGTACAATCAACCAGTGAACAATTATGTCACCGAATGTTGTCTTAAATCATGTATATGTATATAGAAATTACAAGTACTGCGTTACTTCTCGGATAAACAATTAAATTATAATTTATAAAACATGTAGCTTTTACTAAATTTATATGTAGACATATCATGTTTTTTTTTGTGATTGTGAAGCAGTCGTCACAAGTAGTCTGTAACTTGATCATTATGAATAAACAAAAGATGTTAATATTGTATAGGGGTGTTTTGTTGTTTCTTAGTTTGTCTTATTTGCTTTTATTCGTAACCGTATCTTAATTACTCATATATTGTTACCATACGTGTTAATAAGTAAATTAAAAGCAAGAATGTCTCAACAGTACACGGATGCCCCACTCGCACTATCATTTTTTATGTTAGTGGACCGTGAAATTGGGATCAAAATACTAATTTGGCATTAAAAGATCATATCATAGGGAACATGTGTACTAAGTTATAAGTTGATTGGACTTCAACTTCATCATTAACTATCTTGGTCAAAAACATTAACCTGACACGAGACAGACGGACGAACGGACGAACGGACGAACGAACAAACAAACGGACGCAGAGACCAGAAAACATAATGCCCCTACTACTATCGTAGGCGGAGCATACAAACAACATTTTTTATATGGCATGCGTCAAAAGCACTTTCCTGACATTACCTTTATCAGGAACACTCATAGCCGAATATTTGAATGACAATTATGTATAAGGACCGCAACAGTTGAAGAGCTATATGTTTATGACCAAACAAGACTTTGCATTTTTGTAATTTCTAAATTCATAAGCAAAAACTTTAGTAAGGTCTGTGATTCCACGGAATTTTATTCCAGTGTTTTGGTTTCTAATTAATTAAATATTTATTCTCTTACTTGGAAGTTTAATGAAGGTCAAGAAATGGGGGTTTATCGACACTAATGGGTAACGCCGCACTTTCTCATAATATTTTTCCATCAGTTTACTCAGCTTCCTTGTATATCTGACTGTACATGTTTCTCCATCACACTACCAATAAAACAGTTTGTAATGAATTAGAAACGTTGATATAACACAAAAAGTAGAAACGAAAATATGTTGTCTTCAGTTTTACTCAACAAAATGCTCAATGCATACACATACATAATAAGTTAATACTTCTCTTTTAACACATTTAACTTATTCTTATCTTATTGGTTTTTTCTGTATCTTTACCTTTTGGATTTTCTTTATTCGAACAATGGCCAATACAAATTGCAGACTTATGTTTTCTTCTGCTTGATCGTAAACAGTTTAAAACATTTTAAAGTTTCAACCAACACTTTCAAGTATTTTGTTCACCTACGGTTTTACACAAATACTTTCCGAAAATTTACCGAGAGCCATATAATATATGAACGCGTTGTTCCTATTGTACAATCTCTTAACTCATAAAAAGTTTATTAAAAAAAATATCAATTTAGAATTGAAATCGCGTGTTTACAGTCAACAACATTCTAACGTATTCGAGTCTACAACTTACCGCACAGTCATCATGTTCCTTGGATCTTCCGTATACCTATAAAATATTTATGATAGTTTATGAACTGTAACATATGAATTGCTGATTATTTTCATAATATTACTGGCAGCATATACTAGTACGTGAATGTCCGATACAAGTACTTTTGTGAGGTGAACGATATATGTGTACAGGATAAATATAAAGTAGAGTTAATGGTCTGAGTTTGAGTGATTGTTTTCTTGAAATCATCTTTATAGTGTTTGTTTTATCCAAGCTATGCGTAAAAGTTTTGTACATACACAGTGTAATCAAACAGGTTTGCCTATTTTTCCAAGTAACATGAAACAAATTATCCTGGACTGAACAAATATTTGTCCGCATTAAATGATTATCTTTACGATGGAATTATTCAATAGGTATACAGCTGTCTATAGTTGAACATGCAGTGTATTTGTCTAAATTGCAAAAGTCTGCACAACTTATACTGTAATCAAAATATATAGACATCTGTCCATTGTTGATGGTTCAATGTTGATCTTTAGATAACATTTTTCAAGTCATTTGGTTATTTATATTACGTGTTCACACATCTCATTTTATTCTTAAGTCCCTTCTCAGAGATTATATGATAACTGAAATTTGATTTTCGAAAAAAATTTACTAAAATATTTTTTGACTGAGTATTTACAAAAAAGTTAACTGATCATGATTGATTGATTGTTTGTTTAACGCCATTTTCAGCAGTATTGGCTATTTCGGGGCTGTAAGTTTTTATTTGATAAAGGAAGCCCCAGTGCCCGGAGAGAACCTCCGACCTTCAACAGGAAAACTGACAATCTGTGTCAATTAAGGTTGGAGTCGACCACACCTGGCACGTGCGGGGTTTGAACTTACGACCCCAATGTGTACAGACAGGCTAGTGATACAGTAGTTGAACTACTTAGACCACTCGGCAAACGAAAAAAGGTTTTTTCTTTTCAAAAATGGAATCATTTTTAAAGGTCTCACAATAGCCACATGAGTACAAAGAAGTAAGAAGATTTCAGAGAGTTAATGTACGTAATACATATACTTCTGATCTATTCATATCATACATTTACCAATATATCATTTGAACAAAACTAAGTGTACGATCTATATAAACTACAAACAACCGTCACAGATGAGAGGTTTAGCTAGCTATAAACCCAGGTTTCATTCACCATTATCTTTAGAAAATGCCTATACCAAAAAGGAATATGGCAGTTATTTTCCACACAGTCAGTTTTTATGGACTTCCCCTTTTTTAAATTTACTTTTGAATTCGTTATTTTTGTTATACTTTTTATATCTGAGTTCGAACATTAAAGAAACTTAGGATTGATTGCATCACAGGTAAAACGTTGGGAAGACCTCTTTACAACAAATCATAAGCTTATTTTACCGCCAAACCAGGGAACTAAACCATTCCCGATAATATTGTTCTTTTATAAAACGTACACGTCAACCGATATTAAAATGCAGCAAACGGTGCATGTTTATTTCATTTGATATTTACAAGAACAGAAACAACCAACAAAAATATCTTTCTTAAAAAGTTATTTAATGTAGCTGCTGGCTTTAGGATTTAGCTCTTACCTCTATCATTACACTTATCACCACCAATCCATTTTTCTTTGATTTAGCTTCCAAAACATCTTCATAGTCTTTGTCGTAAAATACCATTTGAGCCTTAAATATAATAGTTAAATCATAACACGACTTAATTTCTGGAATTGTTAATATTAAAGACATGGTCGTATAGGATGATATTTAACACCAGCTCGCATAATCAGGATCAAAATAGCTCATATCAAAGGTCAAAAATTAATTTGAGCGTTTATTGTTCAAGAGCCATCCGCTTTTGGAGGTCGATATATTGTTAATTATTTAAAACAGAGGTCTTTCATCATTAATTGGTATTACTATGAACATAAGGGTTATTATAAAGATGGTGTTATACGAACATGTTAAATATTTATTAGGAGTGGTAAATTGCCAGTTCAACGTACAAACTTTTTTGTCAAACAGGTTTCATTAATTCTCCTTGTACATTAAGTAGAAATAGGCAGTATTTCTGATAAGCAAGTAAATAGTTAAAGTCTTCAAATTATAGGGAGAAGGAATAAATGTAACTGCATTATTTAGTTCTTGAAATGAAATAAACTTCGCTTGAAGTGCTTGTCTAACCTTCATCAGGAACGCTACAATATAAACATTTGAAAGCCAGAAATGCGCAAATACGTTCAGCGTAAAGACCGGATGACAAAACAAACCTAAACAGAATAGAGGATGTGTGTGGCTATGCCTTTGAAGGATATACGAACAGTTATGTACTATAACTTGTTAACAAATATTTGTATTGTTAAAGATCTGTTTATAAAAGAATGTATGGTGAGAAATACCGTTTGATTGTATTAGAAAAGTTATATTTACATATTAAATGATAAGACAAGAGAGGAAACACAGGTGATAACTATAAACATACCAGTTGTGTGATGAATAAAACGCCAAATTATGCTGCAGCCAGAACCCAAATCGTTCTTATAATTTAAGAGTTTTTAGAGTACAGTTTTTAAGAAATAAAATGATTTTACGACCAATAATCTAATCATAAATATTTGTAATTTATTTTATAATAAATTCAGACTTTTCCCTAGTTTTTTCTGTTTATTTGTTATCTCCCTTTTTATACATTGATTTAGTCTAATAAGCTCATTCACATGGTACCATAAAGTCATACTAGGTGCACATTTCTTAATTTCTACGTGTTTCGAGATTGATGTCCATTTATATATTTGCTAAGATGATGAAATTGCGATTTAAAAAGTAAGTAAGCTCTTTTGATATCGTACACCTGACCTTAGATCGAAATCACGATCACATTGATTGCTCAAGTTATACTTCCAATTATCTTAAACCATCATCTCAGTAGGGCAGTGGTTGGAGAAACACAGAAAGAACATACGATTGCCGCTTAAGAGGCAGGATATGCTGAAATTTTACAAAGCCATGATATCATTGCTTTTGATATTTCACACTCGTGTACAGTCTTTTAGTCTTCTTGATTTTGTGAATGCCTTATTCTCTCATTGAATTGTATGATTGTTAGACCTATTTATGAATATTGAAAAGAATAATAATCCCCTTTTCAATGTTATTAGGTTACTTACCTCCATCGGTTTGAATTTGTTATCAATAGAATGTTCAGATCCTTCTTTTTCGTTTCGTCCAAGTTGAACATGTAACTGAGCAAAATTATACTCCTTCCTTCTCGGTCTTTCAGGGACATTACGTAGAACTATCTCGTCATCGAATTTTTCGTGAACCTCAAAATACGGTGCATGACCTGTTTTGTGGAATAAAGAAACGAGACTAAGAACAAATTTTACATGTATGAATTTAATTTCAATTTCTATATTTTTTGAAAACAATTTACTGAAAGAAATTTCTTTTGATTAAAAATGCATTCAAACTATTGGATTTTGGTGTTCCAGATTAATTGTAAATCAGAAAGTTAACACTTTGCATGCACCAAATTATAAAGGAATATTTACATTTAAGTTAGTTATTTCCGGGCAAATGCACGATCATGAATGGTAAACTTTAACGTTGGACTATATTCCATACAAATTATAAGCATTATTGCCCTTTTGTAACTTTGCAACTTTGCCAGACCCGAGCCAATCTTAAGATTGTATAAACACATTTTTTTTTATTCTAAAGGACCGAGTGTTTGCCCTAAGATGTCTTTTGTGTCTTAAGTAGTTTGGCAGCTGTCCCAAATACATGTTTCGATTTTTCTCTTATGTTCATACCGTTCAAGCTTGCTGTTGAGTGTCTATTCAATGCGCATACACTAAAAATGTACCTTAATCTAAACAAATTTTTGATATGCACTTTCAAAAAATACAAGAATAAATATCTTTCTTCCAAGATATTTCGATCTGATTTTGTTTGAGGAGAAACACACAATTCGTATAACAATGCTTTTCTAAAAGTGATTTGAAGCAGTAAGCGACGGATAATCATGTCGATAACTGGCAAGGTGTTGACAAAAAAATCATCGAATATTCCAAAACGTCGGCCATTATAATCCCATCTCGATATCTACCAAATTTATCAAATTTTAAATGGCAAATAACCGTTTCCATTTTTCCGACTGTGTAAAATATAGAAACCTTTTCTTGATTGATATATAATCTATCTAATAAAACTGTTACTACTAACCATTGTTTCTAATGGTTGCAATAACTCTTTTATGAACGTTTTCGACCTTTAGCCTTGGATATCTTTTATAAATGGTCTCGTTTGTGTTGATGTTGATTGGTGATTGTCTCATCTGTGATCCACAGGTCGTCCAACACGGATGAACTTTGCACCAGTTCTTGGGTCCTGAAAATAAGTATTGCATTTACATGGTATTAAGAACTGATGTCCTCTTGTTTTATATAAACATGATGATAGCTTATCAATACTTAACCATAACTTGTCATGCTCTTCTGTTATAAGTAGTTGACGAACCATCACTTCTCATAAGCCGATTACATTTTATTCCAATATATGTACCAATTGTACTAAAACTAATTGACATTTCGACAATTATTATGTCTTCAATGATGCTCCTGCCGTTCCTAATTGTAAATCAAAAATGTAATACAAACGCCGAAGAGCTTAAAAAAAACAAGATGAGAACCAAACTTTTTTTTTGAATAGCCAATTCTAGAAAAGAACTGAGCTATACATGAATGCCTTACTTTATAACAGCAAGTTCAATACAAATACCTATTTTTGTATACCAGTACATATCTTCATAGACTAACAGTCCACCAGCATAGGCATCGGTTTAACGGTAGAAATAAATGTACCGATACAAATTTGACTGCATCATATATTTAACAAAGGCTCTGATTCCAACAACGATACTATTTAATGTGAAGTAATAACTCTATATAATAACATTTACTGAATATGATTATACTTTCAAAGTTAGATCACCTCTTTTGACACATTTTTGGGAATGTTCGGTTATTAATGCTCTTTTACTTCGTAATATTTTATTTGGCTTCGAAACTGTTTCGATTCGATAAACACAGATAAGTCTTATGTAAATGAAACGCGCGTATCGTGTGCCAACTTATAATTTTATACTTTTATTATATTTTTTTTTAAACCGGCAAACTATTGTATTAAATCGAACACCAATTGAGATAATCTGGGTATTGATCATTGAAACTGTATCACTTGCAACACTGTTATGAAGTAGAGTGGAATGAAAACAAACAGAACTATGTTACCCGGAAAACAAAAGGTTTGTAACAATAAGAGGACAACAAAACACATATAGAATTTTTACAAATATCGATCACAAAAACATCTACTCCAAATTAAAGCATCAGACAGCCCTGCAAAACTAATATATAACATTAAAGTTACCACTTTTTCTGCACCAGATGCTCACTCGGATAATAAATGTCTCTTCAATGATGCTCTAGGACAACATATTGTAAAATGCAAAGTTTTTTTTTTAAAAAACAAATTAAGAGCTTATAAACCCAAAAGGGCAAACAAATATAGTCAAAGTCGGGCATGGTATTCTGTGTGTGCCTGCTCGAAGTCAACGCTTGTAAATCAGTGCACGTGGTTATCGTTAGTTCAAGTCTGTCGTATTTGTTTTAGTTAACTTTATTTGTTATAGATTGGGCCGTTATTCTTCTTTTTTAAAATGTTTCACATGTTTCATGTCGAAGCCTTTTATTGCAATTTTTACGACATGGGGTTTTCGCATTGTTTAAAGCCGCACGGTGACCACTAATTGTTATATCTTCATCATTTAAACCCTGGTTGATAGTTGGCAATCTTATAAAATCTCCTTATTTTTATATTTATCATGAACAAACCCATGTCATGCATTTAAAGATGAATCCTACAATGTATCAGTACTTTCATGATGTTTATTTTAGTGTGCGTATGTTAAAACTTTAGCTCCTGCATAATTAGAAACTCACAAGGAGCGTCTGATGTTGTGCGAGATGTATCAATTATACAACACATCCTTCGGATAGGTCATACGTGATTGTACTTTATAAAGTTATCATCACGTTTTTGGCACAAGCAAAAACGCCCCAGCATTTCTTGATATTTTCAGGCTAGTTTGAAGCCGATACTGAGTCAAAATGTTCTACCATATCCAACTCTTAATATTTCATGAAGAAGTTAAAAATCGTCCCACTTGTGTCTAATTGTCATTTCGTGTTATATAAGCTATTACATTGACCTCTGGGCAATTATTGTCCAATAAATTATAACACGAATAGTGTATATAAATCGGACAAACCATAATACACTCTGAACAGGAGAAACGTGCTATTGGGAACTTGGAAATGTTACGTTTTTTACATGTTGCTGTTATTGCCACCAAAGCATTTGCTAATAGCCGTTTTATTTCAGGAGACCAATTTGGATAATTAACTTTCCTGTGCTATACTTTTCAATGGCTATGATTCCGATCGTGCCTTTGTAATGAGCAACCAAAGATAAAACCAAAGACATAAATATTGATTTTAGCTGCTGCGCCTCTAAGCACTCGACATTAAGGAGTAACAGTAAAGACTGGTTGGGTCCAATCCCAAATAATGCGTCCGGCTAGGTTGATTTTTTATCCTGTGGACTATAAGCAGTACTAAGTCACGTAAGAAGGTGAATAATCAGTAAGTGCTTAAAATCGCAATTTGTAATGTTTTGTTAAAAGATGAAATGTAAAGTCGGATTCAATCAGTGGTTCTTCATTATCTTATATCTTACCTTCACAGAAATTCCTGTCGTAGCTGAAATGAGCCTTGTTTATGTCAGTATAGCAACATTGTTTCAGTGAGGGAGGTCGGATCCCCTGATATCCAAATCCATCAACGAAGGACACGGACACTGAGGTAACGGTAGCGATCAAAAATACGAGTTCCATATCGTACAGCCAAATGGTCCATACATAAGGTCGCACAAACCGTTTTATTCTATCATTCAGATAATTGAGGCGGGGCATAAGAATACATTTAATAAATCAGGTTTGTTTTTATAAATATATTTGCAGTGTTGTGACTAGATTTTAGATTTAAAGTTTCACAATCCATTCATTGTGAGAAGGTTATTCCTGTAACCTTATTAAATTCAATTTAAGTTTGTATCAATTAATTTATGTACATGTGTAACAAGGTTCAATAAAGTCATACGTGCATGTATTTAATCCAATCTCTACATTGTGTGTACATATTAGTCGATAGTATAATAGTAAAATGGTAGTTCTATTGTATTTATATAATTTGTCAGGGGGGAATAGTCTACTTTATCTCCCTTTTTCATCTGCCTTTCATTCATTCGATTTTGCAATCGGGATCCCTTTTGACCAGTTTTAAAAAGGCAAATACATCGCAAAAATCAAATGATAAACATCGAAGGAAATTTACTCAATATCCTTACTAGATGGTGGGAAATATCAATGTGTTTCTTAACTGGTAATGCGTCGTCCATCGTTCGAGCGTTCTTCATTTCAGGTGAGTTTATGTTCTACTTAAGACAATGTAAAAGCTTAACAACTGAAATATTTGTTTTCCTCTTTGTTGTGCTGAACCGACACTTCTAATAGAATGTTATCAATTTGGGAAATTACGTATCAATTAGATTTTACTCTTTTAACATACTTTTGACATAAATAGGCTGCATACAGAGCAAATGACATTGTTTGTGCCACAATAAGCAATACTTTTTCTTTATTTTTATCATTTGCTCGGATATAATTCGTACTTTTTTGCTACTAATTTATTTCTAAAAAATATCAACACACCCATTTGACAACTGAAACAATTTTGATTTTTTTTTCTAGTCGAAACATTTTATACATTTTTCTATAAGCAGTGATATCTTACTTGTTACGCGAGTACGTTTTTTGTTTTCATTTTTATTGATTTCAGTTGGAAATAATACAAACACTGAAAATTCAGGCTAAGTCTTAACTGTATGCATGCTTAATGAAGAAAAGGCAGAAATACTATATTGCAGGAGATTAAGGCCTGTAATTTGACATCAACATAATTTTGCTTTTAAAAAAATTGATGTATTACGATAACTAACAACAAATATGACCAATTTTTATTAAGAATGCTTTAGTTTCTTAAATTAGAACTTAACATGTTTTTCGGTTATAGGTATAACATCAGTAATACATAGCCTCATTCATGTCATTGCTTTCTGTGTTAAATTCTGCAACTTCAAGCATTCATAGATATAAGAAGATGTGGAATGAGTGCCAATGAGACAACTATCCATCCAAGTCAAAATTTAAAAAAAGTAAACCATTATAGGTCAAAGTACGGTCTTCAACACGGAGCCTTGGCTCACACCGAACAGCAAGCTATAAAGGGCCCCAAAAATTACTAGTGTAAAACCATTCATACGGGAAAACCAACGGGCTAATCTATATAAAAAACGAGAAACGAGAAACACTTATAAACCACATCAACAAACGACAACTACTGAACATCAGATTCTATTCTGTCTGAAGTTCAAATAAATTGATAGTCAAAACTATACCTTATCCTGACTTGTTCTTAAAAATTCAACATACTTTTAATTTCATAATAAAGCGCATTGGTTTACGGAAGTTAAATAGTACAAAACAGGTACTTCTGAACTTTGCAACACGGCAAATATGCCCTCCTATTTTAATTTAATTTATCTTTTATTAATTCAAAAGAAACAAGGTTTCCACAGTGATCCCAAGTCTTTGAGCTTTCATCTAATACCAACATTATCCAAATTTTTTTCCTATTGAGAAACTCACAGTATGCGTAGGAAATAGTATCTTTAAAATATGTGCTACTTTCTTTCTAACAGTGCTGAATTAGTGGTTCTTAACCGTATAACACTAATCGCAAATAAGTGTTATTTGCAATGTTTAGGTCACCAGTAATAACGTCGAACTGTTTTATAGACCCTTTTACATACAATTGTCCATATTTTGGGTTGGAGTTTGTAGACTTTTCTATAATGTTGATATATTTTATCTCAAAATGTGTACAGCGTACTGTGAAAATGATATTGAGATAAACCTGGTTCGTTTTTAATTTGCATTTCTTGTCTAATAGAAAGGCACTACGAAATAATAATGTTCTCTGGCCATATGTATAGTATAGTATCTATATTTATACAAATCTTGTGGTTTGTAATCTCATTCACGTTTAATTAAACGTCTTGAATTATAAAGAAATATTAGAGATATACCTTAAGCAATGCTAAGTTGGGAATATCTACATGTATGTTTAATGATAGAACTTTATAGCGGGAATATTACTTTAGCTAGTAGATAATTCAAATATAAGAAGAGAACTTTTTTTTTTTATATTTGTCTTTACAATTGCATAGCAGATAGTGATTTCTTATATAAAAGAAATTAAAAAGAATTATGATTTACAGTTTTTAAGTATTTAAACTTTGAAATGTAGAATTATTTCTTAAATTTTATTCCTTTAATTGTTCTCTTAAATTTGGTATGGTACAAAGTTATTCCTTTCTTCAGATAAACACACATGCGCAAGTGCGCCCGCTTGCATTCAAACCAATGATATATACTAGTTAAATAATTTCTTTCACATTACAAGTTTTTTTGTGACTTTTGCAATTCAACATGAACTGTAAGAAGTTTTCATTTTAATTGTTGACATTTACACTATCATATTCTAATAAAACCAAAATACATTAATCATTCCAAATGCATGCTTAATCATGTTTATAGGTTGACATGCATGTTCAAATTTAATTTGCCGTTATTAATTATAATACTTAGATATGAATGATAATTGACAGTAATTTACGTGTGTACAACAATTGTTATTAAATTTTATTGGTCAAGGTAATTATTCATTTTACGGTAAATCTATGTCGTTGTTTGATTGACATTTAAAGGAACTTGAATTTTAATGAAACTACAGAACATGTAGTTGATATTTTCTAACCATAATATACTTTTTTAATATTTATAAAATTCATGAAAACAATACAAAATATTAAACGATTCTGTGCCGACTCGCTTAGAAAGTCCATGGCGTGTAGACGAGAAAAGGCACAAATTTTTTTTTGCATTTGTAAGTACACATATGTTGTACATGAAATAAATTATCAAACGGATGTTGATAGTTTGCTAAATATGGTTATCAATGTCCGTGCAGTTGTATGTTAGTAGAAAAAAATCACTCAAATAAATATCTTTTTGTTATTAAAAAACACCCATGGAACCGCGCATCTCATATTGCCTGATAGGACCCGACACTACTTTAGTGTTTCGGCAGTTAAAGCCTGGCATGGGCATCTTAAGATGAATTATTTTAATATAATGAAAATTATTCATGTATATACTGATATATTTATATTCTAATTCTTTATCAATAGATCTAGATATTATGTTAGATATGCCATCATCAGGGGTCCAAATGTCAATTTTATGTTAGGCTTTAACTTGGAACTAGTAAGCATATGTCCTACACTTTTATGTTTGCTATACGCAACTTTTGGTGCAACAATGAACACTGGTACATAATCTTCGTCAAACTGCAATAAATGCCAGTGTTTCATGATATTTATTGTTATATTATAAAACACCCATGCAACTACGCATCCCATATTGCTTGATAGGATCCAAGATTTAGGTTAACCACCTCATTTGAATTATCAATATGTAAGAATTATTGATTTATACATTAATTAATGTATAGATTACGACATTGGATACATAATTTACTCACACGTATAAGTAGATACAAAAGGTAAAAACTATAACTTTAAGGAGATTGATTCATAAAACAAAGGAACATATATTGTTGTTTTGATTTGCAAAGCAAAGAAAGAAACATTGAGATTTATGCGCCTGTCTGTCTGGTTTTTTCGTTTTTGTTTTTCGTTGCTGCAACTTGAAGGGCCCTCATCGCAGATGGTTATCGATTTTAATCAAATGTGTGCATGTTGTATTAGAGAGGTTTATCAACAATGTATCGATCATGTTCCATCCTTTACCCGATTGAAAACGTTTCTTTGGGTAAGTCCTCTTTGAAATATGTACGCGCTCTCACTCGAACAGTTTTTCGCATATTTCCTTTAATATTATTCAAAGGATATGTCACATATAACTTCGTCGATAAAAAATGACACTATCCATCAAGCATTTGTAGCATATATTATTAAAAAAAGTACCTTTAATGATTAGAACAACGGTTAGTTTTTCAAGAAAGTTCGAATATGTTCAAATTTAACTTTTGTATTTTAACTTTGGTATCTGCTCTGTTATATTGCCTTATAAATCAATTTACATAGTGCTGTCGAAAAAAAAGTTTAACAGTTAATACTGTACCTAATGATTTTTTTTACGTCTCATTAGATCCGGTTAGACCATATCAAAATTGTAAATTTTTATCCCAACTTTAATTTTCACTCGATACCGTGAAATTGTTCTCGTTATATGCGGTACTAGTTAATTCTAAAGGGTCCATCGCAACTACATGTAAATAATCAAAGTTAAAGGCAAGTAACATTCCCAAACACAATTATATATGTCGTGCATACAATGTTCTGACAGTTGTTTGTTTTGTTTTTTGTTGTTTTTTTTTGAAATTTGTTTATATTAAAACTTGTGTGAAATAGCTTACAGTATATGATCAATATTGTTTCGATAGAATTATAGTAGATGGACAATATCATAGGCTAAGGACCTGCGACAGGCACATACAGAATGTAATGAAGCAGGTTTAATGAAATGAAATAAAATAAAAGGCTGTGGTATGATAGCCTTTGAGACTATTCTTATCAATGACCAAATAACTAAAACTAAATGACAGTACAAACAATGTTCTTTTTATGGAAAACATCTTATTGAATACATATATAAGTTTTCACAAGTAAAACATATTATTTTTTTCTTAAAGGTTGCTTCTGGTATTATCTTTCAATGTGCATAAACAGAAGCAATGTGGCATACAATCAATGTTAATTGTATT